GACTTGGGCCATCCTCCACTGCACTCCCGGGCCACAGCAGAGAGCTGGCCTGGAAGAGGAGCAACTGGGACAGAATCTGGCATCCTGACCGGGACTAGAACCCGGTGTGCCAGCGCCGCAGGTGGAGGATTAGCCTACTGAGCCGCGGCACCGGCCAATAAATAAAAATCTTTAAAAAATTTTTTTATTTGAAAGAGATAGAGGGCGAGACAGAGAGTGTGACATCTTTTATCTGTTGGTTCACTCCCTAACTGGTCACAATGGCTGGAGCTGTGCCAGGCCAAAGCCAGGAGCCCAGAGCCTCTTCCAGGTCTCCCACATGGGAACAGGGGCCCAAGCACTTGGGCCATACTAAGCCTGCTTTCCCAGGTGCATTATCAGGGAGCTGGATCAGAGGTGGATCAGAAAGATCTCTAACTGGCACCCATATAGGATGTCAGCATAGCAGGTGGCAGCTTAACCCACTATACCCCAACACTGGCCCCTGTATCTGGTCCTTTCACAGTATGTTTTACATCCCCTTTTCTACTATTAATTACCCCATATATGTATTACTATGAAATTTCTGACATAACAGTTTTTCCTCCCTTTAAATACTCATAGACACCACTAAGATTAACTTTGTTAAAACATCTCCTTTTACATGACTATGGTATCTTTGGAAGTTGCCACTGTCTCTGAAATTAAAAGTTCAAAATCAAAGCTGTCCACAGTACAAGAGCTGTATACTTAAATCTCCCCCCTAGAACATCTAGTCACCAAATGAAACAGTACTTGGCCCTGGGTAGGCTTAAAGCCATCAGCAAACATTGACCATTTACTTCAGAGGTGAGGAACGTCCAGCCTTGCCAGGGCAACCAGAAGCAGGACCTGAGATTCACTAAATCTTTAGCAGGCTAATTTTTAAGCTGATAATTTTGTATGGCCTGTGAATGAATGATGTTTTAAATATCCAAATGGCCCTTTGCAGAAAAAAAGTTCCCCATCCCTGATAATATTGGATGGAAAAGGTGGGGCAGGGCCTCTGGATGGCACTGGGATGAAAGTACTAGGTCAGTCCCACATTTCTAGCAGTTTATAGTATGACAAAAGAGAGCCACATGTGGACATAGAAAGCTAACATTAGAAGGTTTCGGTCCCATCAGTGAAACTGTCAACGTAATTAGTGTTCAGAAGAAAGGACTTAAGCTGTGCCTTGATTATATGAATAAATAGTGATTTGTTGTCTTTGATTCAACTTAAAATTAGAATGGACATGGTTAGACAGCTCTTAGTTTAATATCTATTGGGCACAATGTGCTGAACAGAACTAAGTATTCTACATGAAAAAGGTCTTTTTTTTTCTCTTAAGACAGCAGCCTCCCCCCCCTTTTTAAGATTTTATTTATTTATTTGAGAGGTAGTTACGGACAGTGAAAAGAAGAGACAGAGAGAAAGGTCTTCCTTCCATTGGTTCACTCCCCAAATGGCCACAATGGCCAGAGCTGCACCAATCCGAAGCCAGGAGTCAAGAGCTTCTTCCCGGTCTCCCATGCAGGTGCAGGGGCCCAAGGACTTGGACCATCCTCCACTGCTTTCCCAGGCCATAGCAGAGAGCTGGATTGGAAGTGGAGTAGCTGGGATGCTGGCGCCGCAGGCAGAGGATTAACCTACTGTACCTCGGCGCAGGCCCCTCCAGCAGCCCCTTTTCAAAGCAAACAATTAGAGTCTAACATGTAATGAACATTCAAAATGAAAGTTATAATACAGAAATATAACACCAGAAGAATATGCTCCTCCTGATCCAATCAGTTCCTCATACATGGCCAGAGTAATTTTTTCAAAACACGAAGCTAAGCATGTTATCCCTTTACTTAATCACAACCTTCAAAGGAATCACATTTTTCTGAGGACAAACTCTTTCCCAGGCCTTGAAGATCCTGCATGGCTTTGACGCCTATCTCTCTGTTTAGTCTCTTACTCAACCGCAGCACCACTGACCTTTTTTCTCACTTTCCCTGCTGCAGGTAATTCCTATTTATCATTCAGGTCTCAGCTCAGTCGTCACTTACTAAAGCAAAGCCCCGGTAGGGCTAATCATAGCGCCATGCATCTCTTTGGAGAACCTACAACAGTTTTAGGTATATATTTGTGTGATTATTTTTCAAGTTTTTATTTATGCTCTGATGAGCTCTACCATAGATTGTAAATTCTAAAAAAGCAGAAACTTTAGGTTTAAATTCCCCACATTCTTCTGTAAGATATTATAAAAATATTTACATACACATACATATAATGTTAAATAATCCTAGCATTTGGCACAGCAGTCAAGATGCTGCTTGGTGCTGTGGATAACTGGTAAGGTTCGAGTCCCGGCTGCTCTACTTCTGATTCAGCTCTCTGCGTGGGAGACCTGGGAAAAGCTCCTGGCTTCGGATTGGCCCAACTCTGGCTGTTGTGGCCATCTGGAGAGTGAACCAGTGGATGGATGACTTCTCTTTCTCTGCCTCTTTCTCTGTAACTTTGCCTTTCAAATAAATAAATAAATATTAAAAAAAAAAAAAAAAAAAACCTGCTGCTTGGAGGGACTGCATCCCATATTGGAGTGCCTGAGTTTGAACTCCGCTTCCAGCCTTCCTTCCAGATAATGCATACCCTGAAAGGCAGCAAGGGATGGCTCAAGTGTTTAGGTCCCTGCCACCTGTGTGAGACCCTAATTGAGTTTCTGTCTCCTGGCTTCAGCCTGGCCCACCTCCAGCTGTCGTGTGCATTTGGGGAGTTAACCAGAGGATGGAAGAGCTCTCTCTTGCTCGCTAGCTTGCTCTATCTCAGCCTTTCAAATAAATAAATAGTCTTAGCCTAAGGGATAAATCTAGGATAAGCAGCATTTATCCTTCCAGACATTATGACATTAAGACCTATAAAACATATACATTGGGAGCTGGTGCTGTGGTGTAGTGGGTTAAACTACCACCTGCAGTGCCAGTATCCCATTAAGGCACCAGTTTGAGTCCCAGCTGCTCCACTTCTGATCCAGCTCCCTGCTAATGCATGTAGAAAAGCAGTAGAACATGGCCCAAGTCCTTGGTCCCTGCCACCCACGTGGGAGACCCCAAAGAAGCTCCTGGCTCCTGGCTTTGGCTTGGCCCTTGTGGCCATTTGGGGAGTGAACCAGCAGATAGAAGATCTCTCTCTCTCTGCTTTCAAGTAAATAAAATAAATCTTTATATATATATATATATATATGTTTATTTAAACAACCTAAACACTCCAAGACTGTTTATCTGTAAAATATAGATGACATTAAAGATGTGTTGCACATATTAAACGAATATATAAAATTCTTTTTTTTTTGGACAGGCAGAGTAGATAGTGAGAGAGAGAGATAGAGAGAAAGGTCTTCCTTTTTTCCATTGGTTCACCCCTCAATGGCCGCTGCAGCTGGCGCACTGCGCTGATCCGAAGCCAGGAGCCAGGTGTTTCTTCTGGTCTCCCATGTGGGTGCAGGGCCCAAGTACTTGGGCCATCCTCCACTGCCTTCCCGGGCCACAGCAGAGAGCTGGACCGGAAGAGGAACAACCGGGACAGAATCTGGCGCCCTGACCAGGACTGGAATCGGTGTGCCAGCGCCGCAGGCAGAGGATTAGCCTATTGAGCCATGGCACCGGCCCTATATGAAATACTTTTTTAAAAAGATTTTATTTATTTCTTTGAGAGGTAGAGTTACATACAGAGAAAGGGAGAGACAGAGAAAGATCTTTCATCTGCTGGTTCACTCCCCAAATGCCAGAGCTAGGCTGATCCAAAACCAGGAACCAGGAGCTTCTTCTGGGTCTCCCACTTGGGTTCAGGTGCCCAAGAACTTGGGCCTTCCTCTACTACATTTCCAGGCCATAAGCAGAGAGCTGGATCAGAAGAGCAGCAACCAGGACACAAACCAACACCTATATGGTATGCCGGCACAGCAAGCACAGGCTTAGCCTATTATTCCACAGCACAGGTCCCTATAAAATTCTTAAAACAGGCCGGTGCCGTGGCTCACTAGGCTAATCCTCCACCTAGCGGCGCAGGCACACCGGGTTCTAGTCCCGATCGGGGCGCCGGATTCTGTCCCAGTTGCTCCTCTTCCAGGCCAGCTCTCTGCTATGGCCCGGGAAGGCAGTGGAGGATGGCCCAAGTGCTTGGGCCCTGCACCCCATGGGAGACCAAGATAAGTGTCTGGCTCCTGCCTTCGGATCAGCAAGGTGCACCGGCTGCAGCGCGCCAGCCGTGGCAGCCATTGGAGGGTGAACCAATGGCAAAAGGAAGACCTTTCTCTCTGTCTCTCTCTCACTATCCACTCTGCCTGTCAAATAAATAAATAAATTCTTAAAACAATGTATGATACATAGTAAATGCTAAGTAACTGGTATTTTGAATAAGTCCTATTCCTAATTAACTCTTGCTTCTAAGGTAAATCTTCCCAAAATTTTATTTACGTTCAACAACTCTTATGTTCTTTCAAGTTAAGAAGATTCTCAGAGGGTATTGTGGCACAAAAGGTTAAGCCACTGCTTGGGAGTATCAGAGTACCTAGAATGGATTCCCACCTCCATTTCCTGTTCAGCTTTTCTGCAACCCTGGGAGGCAGCAGACAAGTGGGTGCTCAAGTGGGTCCCTGCCACCCACGTGAAAGACCCGGATGGGGTCTCTGCCTCCTGGCTTTGTCCTGGCCTAGTCCCAGCTGTTAACTGGCATTTGGGGAGTAAACAGAGGATAAAAGAGCTCTCTAATTTTGCCTTTCAAATATGTAATAACAAACTTTAAAAAAAAAGATTTTGAGGGGGATAGAAGAGCTTCAAGAATTGTTACATCTTTGGTTACAATTTTTAAGGTCATTATACATTCTTACCAGTTTTTCCCTATGAGTTACTATAACCCAAATTTATTATTTTTGAAGATACATACAAGCCATTAAAATATGTATTTAAAATTTATGGATATGTAAAAGTTATCTTAAGATGCATATTTTATTTCCATAGCCAATGACCATCCATCAAACAAAGGAAATGAAACCAATTTCATGAAGGAAGACAAATCCATGCAATGGTTTACAGGAAGTGAAGAATGAGGTAGCTCAACTAAGGCAACTTGGAATCACTAACTACAAAATGTCAAACTAACTACAAGACAAGTGTCAAAAAGGGACATTTAGAGCAGTTTTGAAGTATTACACATCTTTCTTTAGCTTTTGTTATTTTTCAAAATTATATGTAAAAGTTATACAAATCATAGTAATAGTAAAAATACTAATCTATGAAAGTAGTGATTTGCAAATAAAGTTCTATTTCATTACGTTTCCATCTTCAAATCAGTTGCTGTCTTCTGGGTACTCAGATAAGCTGTGGTTTGAACATCCTTAACTTGACAAAAAAAGCTAATTTTTTTTTCTCTTTTATTTTTTTGAGAAGCAGTTACAGACAGAGAGAGGGCTTTAGTCTTCCATCCACTGGTTCACTCCCCAAATGGCCACAATGGCTGGAGGTGGGCCCATCTGAAGCCAGGAGCCAGGAGCTTCTTCTGGGTCTCCCACGTGGGTGCAGGGGCCCAAGACTTGGGCCATCTTCTATTGCCTTTGCCAGGCCATACCAGGGAGCTGGATCAGAAGCAGAGCAGCTGGGACTCAAACCAGCACCCATATGGGATGCCAGCGCTGCAGGTGGAGGCTAAACCTACAGTGCCTGCCTAAAGAAAAGCTAATTTAATGAAGGAAAAAATAAAGTTGTTACATTGATTAGAAAACACCATTTGATATGGCTCAAAACATTACTTACCTGTGTGACCAGTTTACCAGTGAAGAAGTCTAGCCATATAGAGAAATGATACATATGGAAAATCAGAATATGATTCTTCTATTTAGAACAAAATATGTACTAAAAATTACATAAAATACCTCACAAAGCTTAAAATACAGATAATATTTATATAAATATTAAATATAAATTACTGTCCCTTTACCATAACTAGCATTTGTTTTGGCACTATTCTGCCAGTTAGGTATTGAAACGATTTGTGAATGATTACTTGATAATTATACATGGTTTTAGAAACAAATGAATAAGGTCATATCATGAATCAGTGGATGCTGGAAAACTTGTTGATGGCCTAAATAATATGTACATTCAGCAAGACCTAAGCTAGTTCTTTGCAGAATTCCAGCAACATCTTAGAAGTTACATTTGAGAATACATGCATATCTGGCCATATTAAATTCATTCCCTGCAGTAATAATCATTGATCTAAATTTAAAAGACAAAGAGTGGGTGATTAGCTTAGTGGTTAACATACCTACATGCCTGGCTCTAGCTCCTGACTCTAGCTTCTTGCTAATGCAGACTCCGGGAGGCAGCCCATTTTACCTCAAATAATTGGATTCCTGCCATTCACCTGGGAGACCTGGATTGAGTTCCTAGATCCCAGCTTCAGTCCTGGCCCAGCCCCACCTGTTTCAGACATTTAGGGAGTGAACCAGTAGATGGGAGCTTCTGATTCTCTCTCTCTTTCTCTGTCTCTCAAATCAAGGTTCTTGTGATAAATAAAATACAAATAGACTAACAAGCTAAATTCTTCAAAGATACCAGAGTTTTCCCTAAAGGTAAGAGAAGTCATTATTCTGTCCCTTAGATATTTTAATGGAATAAGGATTGGTGTTGGGGCACAGCAGGTTGAGTCACTGCCTACAACTCTGGCATCCCCTATCAGAGCACTGGTTCGAGTCCCAGCTTCATTTCCAATCCAGCTCCCTGCTAATGCATCTGGGAAAGTGGCAGACAATGGCTCAAGTACTTGGGCCCCTGCCACCCATATGGGAGACTCCAGTTGGAGTCCTGGGCTCCTGGCTTCAGCCTGGACTAGCCCCAGCCGCTGCAGCCATTTGAGGATGGAAATCTCTTTCTGTCTCTCCCTCCAGGTCACTCTGCCTTTCAAATAAATAAATCTTTAAAAACAACTTGGGCTGGCACCCATATGATTGCCAGTTCCAGTCTCAGCTGCTCCACTCCAATCCAGCTCTCTATTAATGAGCCTGTGAAGGAAGCAAAGCATGGCCCAAGTCCTTGGGCCCCTGCATCACATGGGAGACCTGGAAGAAGCACCTGGCTCCTGGCTTCTGCCTAGCACAGCCCCAAGCTGATGCAGCCAGCCATTTGGGGAGTGAATCTGCAGATGGAGGACCTCTCTCTCTCTGTAACTCTGCCTTTCAAATAAATATTTTAAAAACTTGTTTACAAAAAATTTTAACAGAATAAATACCTTTTCCATTTCTATAGGGAACAAGATCCCTGAGGAATATTTTTATTACCCTATTAGTTAATATACTCAAGAACACATTCTCCACTTACTACAAACAGATGGGCAAAATAAAATTGAAGCCCATCATAGTCATTCCCTTGAAACATCTCACCTTCAACTCCAATTTTTTTTCTTTTTTAAAGACTGATTCATTTGAAAGGCACAGTTACACAGAGAAAGAAACCAATATCTTCCATCCGCTGGTTCACTCCCCAAATGACCTCAACAGCTAGGTTTGGGCCTGGCCCCAGCCAGGATCATCATCCAGGTCTCCCATGTGGGTGCAGGGACCCAAGCGCATTAGTAGGGAGCTGAATCGGAAGAGGAATAGCCAGGACATGAATCAGCATCCATATGGGATGCAGTGTCACAGACAGCAGCTTAACCCACTACATCACAACACCGGCCCTCCAATTTTCTTTTCATAATGCAATTCAACATCTGTGTTGATTTAAGTTTTACTTTGTAAGCTAAAATTTTATTTTTCTGTTCCGCAAAGCAAACCAACCCATCTCTTGACAGTGGCCTTACTTTCCACACAAAAGCAAGTTCACACATGCAAATTCCTTTTAAAGATTCAGTAGCCTATGTGATGCTTTTAGAAAAGTGAAAAATGTACTTTATATTTCTACTAAATAATCTTTTTTTAATGGGACTGGTGCTGTGCCTGCGGTGCTGGCATCCCATGTGGGCACCGGTTTGAGTCCCAGCTGCTTCACTTCTGATCAAGCTCCCTGCTAATGAGTCTGGGAAAGCAGCAGAGGATGGCCCAGGTCCTTAACCCTTGCCACCCACGTGGGAGGCCCACATAAAGCTCCTGGCTCCTGACTCCTGACTTTGGCCTAGGTTGGCCCCAGCTGTTGCAGCCATTTGAGTGAATCAGCAGATTGGAGACATCTCTCTCTGACTCTCCCTTTCTGTGTAACTCTGCCTTTCAAATAAATATGTATAAATATATTTAGAAATTTATAAAAATTATAAATATATATAACTACCACATGAAGATGATTTTAACATTCAGGCATATGGTCTTAAAGTCTTATTTCCCACTTTCACTGTTTCCTGTTTGGGGAAGAAAAATGCCTATAAACATTAATTGTAAGAATTCAAATTTGCTGAGCTGGCACTGTGGTGCAGCAGGTTAAAGCCCTGGCCTGAAGCACTGGCATCCCATATAGGTGCCAGTTTGAGACCTGGTTGCTCCACTTCTGATCCAGCTCTCTGCTGTGGCCTGGGAAAGCAGTGGAAGATGGCCCAAGTCCTCCCGCATGGGAGACCATGAGGAAGCTCCTAGCTCCTGGCTTCGGATCAGTGCAGCTCTGGCCATTGCAGCCAATAGAGGAGTGAACCATTGGATGGAAGACCTCTCTCTCTCTGTATAACTCTGAGTCTCAAATAAATAAATAAATCTTTAAAAAAAAAAAAACAGAATTCAAATTTGCTTGCTGCAGGGTTGTATCCTTTTATTATAATTAAGATAATTATAAATATATATTTATAGTATATATTTAATATATTAATATATAATATAATAATGTATATTAAATATATCAGCATGTACTATATATCTAATATATTAGATATTAAATATATTTAATATATACTATAAATATATATTCAAAAATTTATTTACTTAAAAGCATAAGACACAGAGACAGAGAAAGAGATCTTCCCTCTGCTGGATTACTCCCCAAATGGCTGTAATAGCCAGAATTGGACTAGCCAAATCCAGGAGCCAAGAACTCCATCCAGGTCTCCCGCATGAGTGGCAGGGTCACAAGTACTTGGGCCATCCTCTGATGCCTTCCCAAGCACATTAGCAGGAAGCTTGAATCAGAAGTGAACAGCTGAGACTTAACAATCACCCTGAGTTTTTGTATGAGTGTTGCAAGTAGGTGGCTCAATCCACTGTGCCACATGCTAGCTCCTTAACACCCTTTTCATTCATTTACCATCACTTTGGTTGGCAGGAATATAGAAAGGCAGGTTGAAAGGGAGGAAGGGAGGAAGGAAGGCAGGCAGGCAGGCAGGAAGGAAGGAAGAAACGTTGAGAGAGACTCCAAAGGACACTGAAAGTCTTAGAATGAAAGCTTAAGAATGGTTTTTCAGCAAGTGAGTATCAGAAATATATATTTTAGGGAGAATATTCTGGAGATATGAAGGATGGATTAGAGGAAGGAAGGCCGGGGGTGGGGTGTAAAAATAACAGCTAGGAGGCATTAAGTAATCAAAGAGGGCAATAAGCACTTAGGAAAATAGTAACCAGAAAAGTAGTGAAAACATGAAAAAAATGTGGGGACAGTGTTGTGACACAGCAGGTTAAAGCCACAGTCTGTGATGCCAGCATCCCAAATGGGAGTGTCGGTTTGAGTCCCTGCTACTCCAGTTCCAATCTGGCTTCCTGCTAATGCACCTGGAAAGGCAGCATAAAATAGCCCAAATATGTGGGCCCCTGACACCTGTGGGAGGCCAGGGTGGAGCTCCTGGCTCCTGACTTCAGCCTGGCCCAGACCTGGCAGTTGTGGCCATTTAGGGAGTGAACCAGCAAATGGAAGATCTCTCCTCTCTCTGCAATTCTGCCTTTCAAATAATTAAATCTTTATTGAAAAAATTTATGTGAAATAAATGTTTTGATTTTTGACCAGGCACCCACCTTCAAGCAATACTTTTACTAGCTGAAATTTTTTTTCAAGACTTTCCTGTAGAAATAAAATTCTTTGTGATCTAACTTTAACTTGGTAGTTCTGTATCATGATTTATTTATGAATATCAACAATAGTTCTTTGGCCCTAAGAATGTATACCTCTTCCCCAGCAGCTGAGATCCCTTGACCTTCTATATTCTCCTATACTAACTTCCCATCTGGCATTATTATTCATGAGAGATTCAACTGAAAAACCCGAGTAAGTAGTATTCTTTTTAGGTCAGGGACAGTTCAGCAGGTTTCCACAAAGCTCCAATAACATTGTTAAAGTCCTTTTGTTTTGTTTTATGCTCAACAAGCAAAATTCTGCTGACCAACTAATCTCCCAGGTATTTTTGACATTCCTACAGATGGTCTAAGTCAATCCATCTCTGCTTATTGAGCTGTAATATGCAAATTAAATAAAGATAAGGAAAAATAACTGTGGTCTTGTGTCCAACAAACTGTGCCACTAAAACTATAGGCTTTAGTTACGTTACAGAGAGGAACCAGTGCAGATACAAATCATCCCCTCTCCTCTTGCATGAATTCTGTTTCATCTCCTCTCACATAATCTAACCTTCAGAGGCCAGTTAGGGAAACCAGGAAGACTCCTTCCACAGGCCTTAGTCCACAGTGTCAAGTATGAGGTGTTAAGTAGCATCACCAATGATAAGGCAACTTATGGTAGCATTCTAAAACTCTGAAGCTAGTATTACCTCCATGTCCCACATCTCCACCATGTTTGGTTATAGCTAAATATATCATCTTTTTTAAAGATTTATTTATTTATTTGAAAGTCAGAGTTACACAGAGAGAGAAGGAGAAGCAGTGGTCTTCCATCCATTGGTTCACTCCTCAATTGGCCGCAATGGATGGAGCTGTGCCGATCCAAAGTCAGGAGCCAGGAGCTTCTTCCGGGTCTCCCACATGGGTGCAGGGGCCCAAGGACTTGGGCCATCTTCTACTGCTTTCCCAGGCTATAGCAGAGAACTGGATAGGAAGTGGAGCAGCCAGGACTCGAACCAGCACCCATATGGGATGCTGGCACTGCAGGCGGTGGCCTTATCTGCTATGCCACAGTAATGGCCCCAATCCTCCTAAAAAAAAAAAAAAAAGAAAAGAAAGAAAGAAAATAAAAGATTTTTAGAGGCAGAGTTACAGACAGAGAGAGGAAAAGATAGAAATATCTTCCAGGGGGCTGGCGCTGTAGCTCAGTGGGTTAATACCCTGGCCTGAAGCACCGGCATCCCTTATGGGCACTGGTTCTAGTCTTGGTTGCTCCACTTCTGATTCAGCTCTCTGCTATGGCCTGGGAAAGCAGTAGAAGGTGGCCCAAGTCCTTGGGCCCCTGCACCCACGTGGGAGACCTGGAAGAAGCTCCTGGCTCCTGGCTTCGGATCGGTGCAGTTCTGGCCGTTGTGGCCAATTAGGGAGTGAACCATCAGATGGAAGACCTATCTCTCTCTCTCTGCCTCTCCTCTCTGTGTAACTCTGACTTTCAAATAAATAAATAAATAAATCTTTAAAAAAAAAAAATCTTCCATCCACTGGTTCACTCCCCAAATGGCCACAGCAGCCGGAGCTGAGCTGATCTGAAACCAGGAGCCAGGAGCTTCTTTCAGGTCTCCCACATGGGTGTAGGGGCCCAAGCACTGCACCACTTCCCACTGCTTTCCCAGGCCATAGCAGAGAGCCAGGTTAGAAGAAAAGCAGCCGGGACACGAACTGGCAACCATATAGAATGCTAGTGCTGCAGACGGAGGCTTAGCCTACTACACCACCCTGCTGGCTCAATCATCCTCCTTGTCATCATTCCTTTATCTTGACATTGCTGCTTCTCCCTAGCTCAACTCCTCAGTGTTCCCCTTCTCACAAATCCCTCTACTTTGCCTTCTGGAGTTTGTTCATGATAAACACTTTTATCCTATCAGCTTTACTGGACGCACTTCTCTAATCCTAACTTTACAATCTAAAGATGCCTCTATCAGGTTAAGATGCCACATGTGATACTGGCATCCCATGAGTGCCTGTTTGAGTCCCAGTTGCTCAACTTTAGTGGCTTAACCCGCTGTGCCACGAAGCTGGCCTCCCTCCCTGTTCACACACACTGTCCTGGACCTTCCCTCTTACACCAATGTCATTTCAGTGACCATGGATGCACTGCATTCCTTTTAACAGCTACTATATTCCATGGGATGGCTATGCTATCATTAGTCACTAACTGATGAACATTTTGCTTGTTTCTAAGCCTTATGTTAATACAACTACAACTACAATGGAAATACCTGTGAATAAGTTTTTTACCAACAGCCAGTAAATCACTAGAGGATAAAGTCCTAAAATGGAATTGCTGGCTGAAGGGGCTTGTGAATTTTTTATTTTGAAAAATACTATATTGTCCTCCAAAAAAAGTGGTAACAATTTATAATTCCAGAAGCTATGCATTAGAGTGCCTATTTCTCCATACTCTCCCCAACAAAGCGCTATTAAACCTTTTTTTTTAAAGATTTATTTTATTTATTTGAAAGAATTAAAGAGAGAGGTAGAGACAGAGAGGTCTTCTATCCAATGGTTCACTCCTCAGATGGCTGCAACAGCTGGAGCTGTGCCGTTCCAAAGCCAGGAGCCAGGAGCTTCTTCTGGGTCTCCCACGTGGGTGCAGGAGCCCAAGGACTTGGGCCATCTTCTACTGATTTCCCAGACCATAGCAGAGAGCTGGATCAAAGTGGAACAGCTGGGTCTCAAACTGGCGCCCATATGGGATGCTGGTGCTTCAGGCCAGGACGTTAGCCCACTGCACCACAGTGCTGCCCGCCCCCCCCCCCCCATTAAACCTTTTATCTGTGTCCATCTAAAAAACGAATGGAGTTTATCATTGTAGTTTATTTATTCTTTATTTATCTGAGAGACACAGAGATCCCATTTGTTGGCTCACTTCCCAGATGCCTACAACAGCTTGAGGGGTAGGAGACTGAAGCTGGAAGCCAGGAACTCAACTCAGGTCTCCCGACGTGTGTCAGGGAGCCAACCATTTTGATGTAGGAAGCTGGAATCTGGAGTGGAACCCAGGTACTGGGTTGCTTACCTGCTAGGCCAAATGTCCACCCCATCACTGTAGTTTTAATTTGCATTTCTTTTATATGGATGGGACTGAACCTTTCATATATTTAAAAGGTATCTGTATTTTTATGCCTATCTAAAGAACTTTCAAACTGTTTAACATAGTAATAATGCAACTCCAGAGAGGAATTCCATATGTTAACTTTTTTAAAAAAAAGATTTTTTATTGATTGATTTGAGAGGTAGAGTTAAAGACAGAGAGAAAGGTCTTTCATCTGCTGGTTCACTTCTCAAATGGCCACAACAGCTGGAGCTGAGCTGAGCTGAAGCCAGGAGCAGGAGCTTCTTCCAGGTCTCCCACGTGGTTGTAAGGGCCCAAGCACTTGGGCCATCTTCTACTACTGTTTTCCCAGGCCACAGCAGAGAGCTGGACGGGAAGAGGAGCAGCTGGGACATGAACTGGCACCCATATAGGATGCTGGAGCTGCAGGTGGAAGCTTAGTCTACTACGCCACAGTGCCGGGCCCCACCATATGTTAATTTAAGGCAATTAATTGTCCACCTATGTGTATCTGTGGTCATTTGACGCCATCTGGAGGCTATCTGAGATCAATTTATAATTTACTAATGAAAAATTTACACTCCAAGATAAGATGTCTTTTGGACTGTAACTCCAGGCAGCTCATATTCTCAGGGGACAAATGAACATTAATAGTAGCACAAGCTAAAAAACTGAAAAGGAAAATTACGGAGGAGAAAATATCTATCCCAAAGATGAATGGCAGTATTTCTTGGCCACTCCAGTTTGTGATTTTTCAATGCTATGACACTCTTCTGATATTACAAATTTAGAAATATGGCTACCATGTAAAAATTCATTGTGGCATACACTCAGGATCTATGTATTTTTCTTTTTTAAAATATTTATTTGAAATGCAGAGTGACAGAGTGGGGGAAGAGGAGACAGAGATTTTTCACTCTGCAAATGGCCACAACAGCAGGGCCTGGGCCAGGCCAAAGCCAGGAGCCTGGAACTTCATCCTGGTCTTCCACAGGGGTGGCAGGGCCCAAGCATGTGGACCATCTTTTGCTGCTTTCCCAGGCACATCAGCAGAGAGCTGGATCAGAAATGGAGCAGCTGGAACATGAACTGGCACCCATGTGGGATGCTGGGACTGAGGAAAGAGAGCGAGCAAGAAAAGAAAGACTGGCATAAATGTGCAAAACAAAGTAGCTGCTTACATTTGGTTTCAAGGAAAATGCTCTCTCACAGGGATTTCCCAAAGATCTTTATCTCTTTATTATGAAAGATTTGAATGCTTTCTTATCTCAATCTAGCTCACTTATCGCAATCTCTTATCTGCTTTTGACAAGTATAAGCTCATTGCACCAGAGCCTGGTTCCACTTACAAAACAATGTCACCTGGGCTGACATTCCTCACCAACAGTCTCATACTGAGCCTAGGGCTCAAACACTGTACAGGTGACTCACCGGCTGATACACATGTACAGAGCGCCGACTCTTATCTCACACTATGTTGAACACAGAAAAAAGGAGTGTGGAAAAAAGGATTAGGCCCTACAAAGGATTTATATATAATTTACTTGATGAAGTAAGATAGCTGTGGGGCCGGTGCTGTGGTACAGCTGGTTAATGCCCTGGCCTGAAGTGCCGGTATCCCATATGGGCTCTGGTTCGAGACCTGGCTGCTCCACTTCTGATCCAGCTCTCTGCTGTGACCTGGGGAAGCATTAAAAGATGGTCCAAGTCCTTGGGCCCCTGCACCCACGTGGGAGACCCAGAAAAAGCTTCTGGCTCCTGGCTTTGGATCGGCACAGCTCCAGCCGTTGTAGCCAATTAGGGAGTGAACCAGGGGATAGAAAACCTCATTCTCTCTCTCTCTCTCTCTCTCTCTCTCTCCCCCCCCCCTCTCTGTGTAACTCTTTCAAATAAGTAAATCTTTAAAAAGTAAATAAGTAAATCTTTAAATAAAAAAAAAAAAAAGAAAAAGAAATAAGAGAGCTGCTCTTCTGCCATGTGATACAGCGTTCCTCCCCTCCAAAGAATGCAGCAGACAAGGCCTATCTTGGAAGAGGCCAAGCCTCTAAACCTGCCAGGACCTTGACCCCTACAACCATGACAAATAGCTTTCTGTCCTTTAAATTAAAGAGAGAGGGAGAGATTATTTAAGGACCAATTATCAAATAAGACAGCACTACAGAATAATACTAAACTAGCATTAGGCGTAGTGGTGGAGATGCCCCTAGGGACACCTGCATCCCACATCACAGTGCTTGAGCCCCCGTCTTGATTCCGGCTTCCTGCTGCTGTGCACCCCCGGGAGCAGCATGTGATGATTCAGGCGGTGGATCCCTGGTCCCATGTGGGTGACCTGGATTGAGTTTCCCCATCCCTAAGCCTGGCCCAGCTCTGGCTGCTGTGGACAACTGGGGAATAAAGCCACTGGATGGGAGACCTCTGTCTTTCTCTCTGCTTCAAAAAGAAAAAGATGAGGAAAACTGAAATTATGGACAGTAAATACAGTAACAGTTCAGAGAAAGGAGAAAGCAATGGATTCCCCTAGCTTAAAGATAAACATTGGAGAATTTAAGGAAAGAAGCACAAGACAGGACCGCTTTAAACAAAGCAGAGGTAGACTAAAGACAGTTTGCCCATGTCAAGAGAAAGAAGGAAAGACTTAAATGCCTGTCTGAGTCATCTGAACTTTGCCTGGTAAGCAGCTGAGGCACGTCACTGAGGCAATAAAAGTGATATTTCATTAAGATTTATCTGGCAGGGCAATACAGGATGTACTAAAGAAAAATAAAAGGCAGAAAGACAGACTAGTTAAGAAGTTGTATAGGGCCAGCATCATGGTGTAGCAGATTAAGCCACTACCTGTGATGCAGCCAACTCATGGGCGCTGATTTGAGTCCTGGGTGCTCCACTTCTGATCCAGCGCCCTCCTAATGGGCCTGGGAAAGCAGCAGAGGATGGCCCATGAGCTTGGGCCTCTACTACTCATGTGGGAAGAAACTCCTGGCTTCAGCCTGGCCCAGCCCTGGCCATTGTAGCTATTTGGGGAGTGAACCAGCAGACGGATCTCTCTCTGTCTCTCCTTCTCCCTCTCTCTGTAACCCTGCCTTTCAAATAATAATCCTTTTATCATTATTTTTATAGAAAACTTTTAATAAATTTCAAGAGTATAACTTTTGGTTTATAGTGACTTTTTCCCCCCATAACCACCCTCCCACCCACAAACCATCCCATCTCCTACTCCCTCTCCCATCCCATTCTTCATTAAGATTCATTTTTAATTATCTTTACATACAGATCAATTCTATACTAAGTAAAAATTTCAACAGTTTGCACCCACACAGACACACACAAAGTATAAAGTACTGTTTGAAGATTAGTTTCACCATTAATTCTCATAGCACAATACATGGGAAGCAAGTGCACAGTGACTCCTGTTGTTGATTTAACAACTGACACTCTTATTTATGATGTCAGTAATCACCCTAGTCTCTTGCCATGAGCTGCCAAGGCTATGGAAGCCTCTTGAGTTCACAAACTCCGACATTATTTTTTTTAATAAGATTTATTTTATTTATTTGAAAGACAGAGTTACAGAGAAGGGTCTTCCATCCACTGGTTCACACCCCTAGATGGCTACAACGGCTGGAGCTGTGCCAATCCGAAGCCAGGAGCTTCTTCTGGGTCCCCCATGGGGGTGCAGGGGCCCAAGGACTTGGGCCGTCTTCTACTGCTTTCCCAGGCCATAGCAGAGAGCTGGATCGGAAGAGGAGCAGCCGGGACTAGAACTTGCGCCCATATAGGATGCCAGCGCTTCAGACCAGGACTTTAACCTGTTGTGCCACAGCGCCAGCCCCAAACCCCGACATTATTTAGACAAGGCCATAAGCAAAGTGGAAGTTCTCTCCTCCCTTCAGAGAAAGGTACCTCTTTCTTTGATGGCCCCTTCTTTCCACCAGGATCTCAGAGATCTTTCATGTAGGTCCTTTTTGCCATAGTGCCTTGGCTTTCCATGCCTGAAATACTCTCATGGTCTTTTTAGCCAGTTCTGAATGCTTTAAGGGCTGATTCTGAGGTCAAAGTGCTGTTTAGGGCATTTGTCATTCTGCGAGTCTGCTGTGTATCCTGCTTCCTATGTTGAATTGTTCTCGCCTTTTTAATTCTGTGAATTATTATTAGCAGACTCAAATAATAATTTTTTAAAAAATTGTATACATCTCTGCAAGAAATGATGATCTTTTTCCTCTAAGACTTTATTTATTCAAAGTTTTTTTTATTTATTTGAAAGTCAGAGTTACACAGAGAGAGGAGAGGAAGAAAGAGAGAGGTCTTCCATCTGGTGGTTCACTCCCCAGTTGGCTGCAACAGGCGGAGCTGCGCCAACCCGAAGCCAGGAGCTTCTTCTGGGTCTTCCTATGTGGGTGCAGGGCCCAAGGACTTGGACCATCTTCTACTGCTTTCCCAGGCCATAGCAGGTAACTGGATCGTAAGTGGAGCAGCAGGGACTTGAAACAGTGCCCATATGGGATGCTGGCACTGCAGGCAGTGGCTTTACCTGCTATGCCACAGCGCTGGCCCTGACTTAATTATTTTTAAGCCAGAGTTAGAGATAGAGATCTTCCATCTACTGGTTCACTCCCCAAATGGCAGCAACAGCTAGGCCTTGGCCCAATCCGAAGCCAGAAGCTTATTCTGGGTCTTCCCAGTGGGCACAGGGCTCCAAGCACTTGGGCCACCCCATCTGCTGCCTTCCCGGGTCCATTAGCAGGGATCAGGATCCAAAATGAAACAGCCAAGACTCAAACCAGTGCCCGTATGGGATGCTGGCACCACAGGTGGTGGCTTAACGCGCTATGCCACTGCCCTGACACTAGAAATGTTTTTCTTAACAAGAGGGGCTGGCATTTTGACATGGTAGGCTAAGCCTCTGCCTGTGGTGCCTGAATCCCATTTGGGCACTGGTTCATGTCCTGGTTGCTCCTCTTCTGATCCAGCTCTCTGCTATGGCCTGGGAAAGCAGTGGAAGATGGCCCCAGTCCTTGGGTCACTGTTTGTGCATGGGAGATGCAGAAGCAGCGCCTGGCTCCTGGCTTCAGATTGGCCCAGCTCTGGCCATTACAGCCATCTGGGGAGTGAACCAGCAGATGGAAGACCTTTTTCTGTCTCTCCCTCTATCTGCAACTTTGCCTCTCAAATAAATAAATAAACCTTTAAAAAAGACAGAGAGAGAGGGAGAGAGAACAGGAATGTAAGGATAATAGTAAGAAGTGCCGTTCATTGAAGCTTTAGCACATTCTAGACTTCTGTAACTGTGAAAACTGCTTTCATATATACCTTGTTTAAACAAAAAAAATGAGAAAAATGCCATTATCTACATTGTAAAGATGAGAAACCAGAGGTTAAGTCATTTGTCTAAGATCATAGTGCCATGAATTACATGGGAAAGTCAGGAGAAGAGATGTTGAACTCCACAGATGACCTGTTGACCATTATGCAATTTTAAATGTCAGCATTGTATAGTAACATTCTCCCAATACCAAACTTTTCAAACTTGCCATTAAACAGCATATCTGGTAAGTTTTTGCTGTTTTTTTTTATCTGAGAAAAGCTACTTGTGAAAATTCTAAACAGAAGATGGTGTCAAGGATCTATCTGTCCAGTCATAACGAAATCATGAATGAAACACTTTTCAGGAGCAAGTGATAAGCCTAGCAGTTAAGACACCCAAGGGGCAGAGTTTTGGCACAGCTCTTGGGACAAGCATATAGCAGATCCAAGTGCCAGTTTGAGTCCTGATTACTCCACTTCTCATCCAGCTTCCTGCTAATACACCTGGGAAGGCAGCAGATGACAGCCCAAGTTCTTGAGTCCCTCCCACCCATGTGGGCAATCCAGATGGCATTTCAGGCTCCTGGCTTTGGCCAGGCCCAGACCTAGCTGTTGCAGCAATCTGAGAGAACTAGCAGATATACGTTCTCTTTCAAATAAGTAAATAAATAAAACTTAAAATAAATAAGACACCCATGACCCAAATCGGAATGCCTAGGTTTCATACCTCACTCTGCTCCTGACTCTAGCTTTTTGCTAATGCATACCTGAGAGGCAGTGCTGATGACTCCAGTGGTTGGGTTCCTGCCACCCACATGGGAGACCTGGATTGAGTTGCTGGTTCCTGGATTCAACCTGGCCCAGTCCTGGGCGCTACAGGCATTTGGGGAAGAAAACCAGCAGATGGGAGCTCTTTCTCTCAGTCTCTCTCCCTTTCCCTCTTAGCAATTTCGACCCAAAATGTGCGTGAAACTTTGGCATTTATTTATTTCCCTGCCTCTTCCCAAAAGCATTTAAGAATGCTAAGATACTCCTCCAAAGTTATGAAATAATCCTTCCACTATTGAGTTTTCTAATTTTAAAAACTGAGGCTTTCAAACGCTTTTAGACTTATATATCTTTTTCTCAACAAGAATTCTAATCTTTTTCCTAATTCAATAATATAAATATAATCCTCTGCCTAAGGTTTCAATAATTGAGCTGTACTTTAGCTGTAAGTGGCAACAATTTCTACCACTCAGCTATCCTCAAATCCATGCAAGTCAGCAAAAGTTACAAAATAAGAATTGTTGCCATTTTGTACTTCTACTCCAAAGCCAAAGTCCTCACACTGACAACATACACTGGCATCACCCAAGACTCTGTTAGGAAGTTGACTTTAAAATATTCCCACAGACTATTTTTAATATTAAGATGAAATTTACATGATTCAGGAGAGCTGCTTTTAAAAAGTCAGTTGGGGCTTATCCTTAAAAAGCAGTTTGAAGTTGTAAAGGTGGAAATCAAATTTCCTGCAGGCACTACTTGGGGAACAAAATAAGCTGACACTTGTTGAATGTGGTTTTTCTACATTCTCCTTAGAGTAGAAAACTGTTACTTTTATCTGTGACAAATGGAAAAGCAAAACCTGTACTAAAGATCTCTCTAGTCTCCCTTGAATTTGTCTCGTGAAAAGACAAAAGACATACGGAAGAAGCATGAAATTGTGGGGAGCAGGGTCGGTCTCCCGCAACATGGTGGGGTGCCTGGGAGACAAACAAGTACTGAGACTGTGGACTGAAACTAACTCTATGCGTCTGATCTCCCAACATATGGTGCTGAGAGGGAGTAAACAAATCTTACACAGCTGCTTCCTCAATTAGCTGATTCCTGATCCAACCTCTGATTGGAGGAGAACAGCAAGCATGCTCGGCACGTGGAGAGAGAACGCCGGCAGAGCACGGATTGGTGGGAGAGGACTATAAAAGGGGGAGAAAGAAAACATGCGGGGCCCCTTCGAGTCGGTCGGAGAGCTCCGGGAAGGACCAGGGAAAGAAAACAGCGTCCAGTGTCGTTCCTCCACGAGTAGGGGAGCGACAGAAATTACCAAAGTTTTTTATTACTTATTTGGTTTGAATGGACAAGAGAGGAAAGAGAAGTGAGGCAGTTAAAAAAAAAAAAAAGACGATGAAAGCTCTGTTAAGAGGCTGGCATTGTGGCATAGCAGGTAAAGCCACTGCCTGCAACATGGCATCCCATATGGGCATCGGAGTCCTGGCTGTTCCACTTCCCATCCAGCTCCCTGCTGACAGCCTGGAAAGGGCAGCAGAAGATGGCCCAAGTGTTTGGGCCCCTGCCACCAACGTGGGAGACCTGGAAGAAGCTCCTGGCTCCTGGCTCCTGCCTGGCCCAGCTCTGGCTGTTGTGGCCATCTAGGGAGTGAACCAGCAGATGAAAGATCTTTCTCTGTAACTGACTTTCAAATAAATAAATAAATGTTTAAAAAAGAAAGGACCCTGGGGAACGTTTTCTTAGTCTTTGGGTAGACCTTTTTGGTTTTTTTTTTTTAAAGATTTTATTTATTTATTTATTTATTTGAGAGGTAGTTACAGACAGAGGGAGAGACAGAGAAAGGTCTTCTATCCCACTGGTTCACTGCCCAGTCGGCCACAATGGCTGAAGGGGCACCAGTTGAAAGCCAGGAGCCAGGAGCTTCTTCTGGGTCTCAGGAGCAGGAACCCAACCACTTGGGCCATCCTCCACTGCTTTCCCAGGCCATTAACAGAGAGCTGGATTGGAAGTAGAGCGGCTGGAACGTGAACTAGTACCCATACGAGATGCTGGTGCTGCAGGTGGAGGCTTAGCCTACTATGCCACAGTGCTCGCCCCTGCCTAGACCTTTTAAAATAGAGATTAGATTAGGTGCCTACTTAGAACCTTCCAGTGGCAGTGGAATAAAATCTGCCAACCACCTCTCCTACCAGGTCCCTCGCGGACTCACTCAGGCCACTTTAGGAGCTCTGCAATGCTCCTCCCTCTGAAGGAACACTCTACTGGGTCTTTGCAAGCTTGGCTCTTCCCTGTGTAGGCTTCCTAACAAATGACCTCCTGGGAGATCTTAACCACCTGACATAAAGTACTCTCCTTCCCAGCCGCCCATCCCAAGGTCACTGGGAATCTACTGTCTTCATGGCCCTTAGCACCACCTGCAATGGCCTGGTCTTTCATTTGCTTGCTTGTTGTCACCCCCTTCTAGAACATAAGGTCTGAGTGGAGAACACGCTGGTGGTCCAACACTGGACCTTCCTAAAACAGTGCCTTGACCAGAGAAGGCAGTCAGGTGTTTGCTGAATAAAGCCTCATCTAGGGAAAGGAGCAGCAGTTGTCTTTACAAAGGAACATTCTACTTGAGGGCTGTAACTGACTGAGGAATGAAGTAAACCATAAACCACCAGCAATGGATGACTGGTGTAAGATTCAAACTGGGAACCAGGCAGTTAACTTAAATGAATACTTATTTCAGGTTTAGTGTTGAATGTTGGCAATTTTAATACAAAACTGCTTTTTTTTCTAAATAGAGAAGATTATATCTGTTGTGGATAAAATACACCTCCACTAGAACATCTTATTAAATATGATTAAAAGACTACCATAAACAAAATTCGTCCCCCCAAAACTCAACATTCTCTTGAGCACTGAACTTGCAAACTGAAGAATAACAGGAAGAGGCCGGAGCTGTGGCTTAGCAGGTTACGCTGCTGTCCACAGGACCGGCAACCCATAGGTGCACTGGTTTGGGTCCCTGCTGCTCCACTTCCGGTCCAGCTCTCTGCTAGTGGCCTGGGAAAGCAGTGGAAGATGGCTCAAGTACTTGGGCCCCTGCACCTACTTGGAAGACCCAAAAGGAGCTCCTGGTTCCTGGCTTCAGCCTGGCCCAGGCCTGGCCATTGCAGCCATTTGGGGAGTGAACCAGTGGATGGAAGACCTTTCTCTCTCTCTCTGCCTCTGCGTCTGCCTCCCCTGTGTGACTCCGCCTTTCAAGAATAAATCTTAAAAAAAAAAAGGGAAACAAATACAAGTTCTTATTATGTGCCTAGTAGGTCCACACCACTCTTAACAGTAAATGGATATAGTCTTCATTTAACCCATAAGGGACTGGCAGTTCCAAAATTAAAATAAAAATCTGGCTATTCCCTCCCCAAATAAACAAGATGCCAATTTTGCGAGAACTTCATCCTAAGAAATGTAAAAGTCAAATCCATTCATATATATCATATACACACACATAACGGTAGACAAGGATGAAAAATTCAAACGTCCTTGAGACAGGCTTTGAGCGCACTAAACTGTGCTATGTGGTCCTGCACCTGTCACTGCCCTTCCTGGGACCAACACGCACCTGATGCCCATCGCATACCCTCGGCGATGGCAGGCCCCCTGCGTCAGCAACACATCACCTTCCAACGCCCGCCTCCTCGGGTGAACGCTTGCAGGCGGGCCTCGGCCGCGTCTGGCCGGGAACGCCCCCAGATCTTGCGGACCCGGACTGCCCCCTCGGTCTACCCAAACAATTTTTTAAATTGTGCTTCTCTTTGCCCAGACTCAGCTACATTCAGCTGCCCTGCCCGAAAGGGTCCCTCTCTGGGAGTCGGGCGACAATGCGGAGTCGCGAAGCTCTTCGACCTCGGTCGCGGACAGGGCGAGGGCCGGCATCGAAGGAGCAGACCTCCGGCCCTGGCCTCCGCGCTCCAGTCCTCCCGCCTCGTCGGCGGCCTGAGCCTTTCCAGCGACGGAAGACATCGGGTGCCAACGCCCGGGACGCTGCAGAGGGCGAGACGGGGAAGACTGCGCCTGCGGCTCTCCGTACCACCTCGCTTTGCCTTTTTCCATCTCGTGCGTCTCTGGAAGACTCGGAATACAGGAGCCGAGCTTCCCCCAAGGGCTCTCATCCAAGGCCGCGCAGGCACGATCTGGTCCCGAGTCCCAGCACGCTCCGGCGCCGCCACAGCCCTAGCCGGACCTCACCGGGCGCCGACAGGCAGTCCTGCGCACGCGCCGGCGCAGGCGAGTGACGCGCAGGCTCCGCCCCGCCCCTCGCTGCCCGGCGCGCCGACGCCTCGCTCGGGCTTACCGCGTGACCGCGCCTGCGTGCGGAGCCTGGGGCGCGGGAGGGCAGGGCGGCTGCTTGTGAGTAACTGAATGCGGAGCAGGTCTTCCTCCCGGCTGTCTCCTCCTGGGACTGCGGGCGCGTGGGGAGTGCAGCGCTGGTAATTCTCCGGCAGCTTCTCCCGGGGGAGGGGCGAGAGCTGCGGGGGCTCCCCGTCGGCGCTGACGTCACCGGCACCTTGGATGCGTTTGACGGGCGGTGCGGGGCGCGGGGCGCCTGGGCCTGGCTGTGACCACCTGCCGGCGCCTTCCCCTGCGGAGCCGCGGAGTGAGGGAAAGCCGATTCTAGCGGCAGGCGCCACTGTCAGAATTCACTTAGAAGACTTTTGCAAAATAATTACAGTACTTGGTGAACCAAGCGTCTTAAGACGGGAAAGTATCTTTGGAGGCGAGAGTTATTTAACAGCAACTATCACGACCTCGTTTGCTGAAGTTCACCTGGAAAAAGCTTTTTCAGTCTGGCCTTACCAGGCACGTTAGGAATTACTTAGTTCACAGCTACTCAACGGTTAAAAAACAAACAAACAAAAAACACAAAACCTGGAAACCATCACACTTAGTGAAATAAGCCGGTCCCCAAAGGACAAATACCGTTTGTTCTTCCTGACCTGAGATAATAGAGCACCTGGAATGTAATGTGTAGGAATGAAATAAACATTTTGGGATCCCATGGTTGCTTACAGCCCTCGTCTCTATGCTGAGGAACAGTGTTTTGTTGTTTTTTTCCTTCATGCTGCTCATTGAACTTTTTACTGAGTGTAGGGTTAATCTTAGGAGTATAAAGTGAACTGGAACTAGATCCTTCTAAAAACTAAGCGTGGAACTAGGAGAGGGAGGAGGAAGAAGGGTGGGAGTGTGTTCCTGACTCTGCTTATAGGAAATACATGAAATGTGTGCACCTTAAATTTTTTTGATTAAAAAAAGAAGAGAGCCGGTGCTATGGCACAGCAGGTAAAGCCGCCGCCTGCAGTGCCAGCATCCCATATGGGCGCCGGTTTGGGTCCCAGCTGCTCCTCTTCCGATCCAGCTCTATGCTATGGCCTGGGAAAGCAGTAGAAGATGGCCCAGGTCCTTGGGCCCCTGCACCCGCGTGCAGACCTGGAGGAAGCTCTTGGCTCCTGGCTTCGGATCGCCGCAACTCTGACCATTGCGGCCATCTGGGGTGTGAAACAGCAGATGGAAGACCTCTCTCTCTCTCTCTCTCTGCCTCTGCCTCTGCCTCTGCCTCTCCTTCTCTCTCCCTCTGTGTAACTCCGACTTTCAAATAAATAAATAATTCTTAAAAAAAAAAAAAAAAGAAGTATTCATGTTGTATGCCTGAGAAAATGGACCCAGGCAGGTAAAATGACCTGACACGTGTGTGGTGCAGCTCCCCGTCTTGGTCACCTGGTTGAGCAGCCTGTGCTCTTTGTACACTAACACCCTTTGGAAACCAGAATCAGCTCACAGGGATGTGAATTCAAAAGAACTCGGTTTAGCTTTCATAAAGGAAATCTTGCTAGAATCTAAGACCTAATTTTTACCTCATCTGTGCTTTCTAGAGCGTCAGCCACCATAAGGTCCACCATCAGGATTTCTCTTTGTTAATCCTAAAAAGGAGTAAAGAAACTGCTCCCTCCCCACTCTGCCTGAATGTCTCACGTTGCAGGTTTTGTGGTGCTTTTTCTAAGTTTTTACTTATTTTCATTTAATTTGAAAGCCAGTGTGTGTGGGGGGGAATGAATCAGTCTTCTGTATCCGTGGATCACTCTGCAAATGCCTACAAGGAAGCAGAAACCTAAGACTCCATCATAGTCTCCCGCAGGGGTGGCAGAGACCCAAATACTTGAGACCCAAATACCCAAGCTGCACATTAGCAGGAAGTTGGATCCGGAGTGGGGGAGCCAGGACTTGAATCAGGCACTCCCACGTGAGATGCAGGTATCCCAAGCAGTGCCAAAGGCTTGCCCCAATTCCAAGAACTTTATATCCAAGAATGACTTTTTCTCTAAGGAAGGCTAAAATAAGAACAGGTAGTGAGAAAAGTCCTTTGATCCTGGAAGAGATTGGCTATGTAAGAACTTTTCTTAGGAAAACAAACCAACCAACAAGCGACGCATTTGGGACGACTGGTAAGACACTGCTTGGAATGCTCATACTGGAAATCAGAGTACCTGAGTTCCAGCCCCGGCTGGCGTGGGCATTTGGGGAGTGAACGAGTAGAGGGAAGATAGTGTACTCACTCACTCACTCACTCACTCACTCATTCAGTCACTCACTATTCTTTCCTCTGCTTTTCAAATAACTAAATAAATATTCTTGAAATTAAAGGTTATCATTGCAATATGGATCTGAGTTGGAGCTTCTGAATTCGGAGCCCATGATGGTTTTAAATTTATAAGTCCGACTTTATTATCTTTTAACTATTATTAAATGATACTTATTTTAAAAGGAACAGGAAAAAAGTAGATGGACAAAATACAGAAAGCAAATTTAAGTAACATGACTTTTTAATAAACTAGAAACAAAATGGCATCCTTTCTGTTGTTTGAATAACAGACACAATGTTCCTTTTTGTAATATACACATCTAATGAAATACATTGATACGTTTTGAAGAATATAATTATACCGTATTTGTGCATGATCTTTTCGAGCATTGAAGCAAAAAAGTCACTGTGTGCCTTTCTTTTTCTCTCAACTCATTTTCTTTTTTAAAAAAACATTTATTTATTTGAAGGAATTACAGAAAGAGAGAGAGAGAGAGGAATCTTCCATCTGCTGGTTCACTGCCCAGATGGCCACAGCAGCCAGTGCTGTGCCAATCCAGAGCCAGGAACTTCTTCCAGGTCTCCCATATGGATGCAGGGGCCCAAGGACTTGGGCCATCTTCTGCTTTCCCAGGCCATAGCAGAGAGCTGGATCAGAATTGGAGCAGCTGGGACTTGAACCAGCACCTATATGGGATGTTGGCACTGCAGGTGGCAGCCTTACTTCCTATGCCACAGCGCCCGCCCCTATCTTTTATTTTTAAGGATTGATTTATTTGAGAGGCAGAGAGAGAGGTCTTCATCTGCTGATTCACTCCCCAAATGGCCACAATGGCTGGGGCTGGGCTGATCTGAAGCCAGGAGCTTCTTCTGAGTCTCCCATGTGAGTACAGGGGCTCAAGCACTTGGCCATTTTCCACTGATTTCCTAGGCCATTAGCAGGGAGGTGGATCAGAAGTGTAGCAGTTGAACTTGAACCAGCACCCATGTGGGATGCCAGTGCCATAGGCGGAGGCTTAGCTCGCTCACCACCGCACTCACCCCTTCCTTCTGTCTCTCCTATGAACTTGCCAACCTGCACGATGAAACTGTTCTTTGAATGAGTCGTCACCTGCTCATCATGTTCACATTATGATATAAGATGAAGAAAGGCGTTGTTGTCCAGTGACCTTTAGTCAAGCAGTTGCCTTGAAGTCCAAACAGCTGCCAAGAAATCCTATGGATGACTGCTGAGCTTTCTAAGCGTCCAAGCAAACTAGAGCAGCAGTTCTTGTCCACAGACGCCCTCCTCCAGCTGTCTGCAAGTGCCCCCTCTGTCTTGTGTAGCTTCCCTTTGTGCTTCGTGTGTCAGCCTCACGTTTCCAGCAGAGGGAGGCTTGTGCCGATTCCAGACTTGGAGGAGTTCCTCTCATTTGTACTTTCTTTTAAGATTTATTTATTTATTCATTTGAAAGATAAGTCACAGAGAGGGAAAGGTGGCAGAGAGCGAGAAGTCTTCCATGCACTGGTTCACTCCTCAAATGGCCACAATGGCTAGGGCTGAGTCAGAGCAAAGCCAGGAGCCAGGAGCCTCTTCTGGTCTCCCACGTAGATGAAGGGGCCCAAGCACTTGGGCCGTCCACCGCTGCTCTCCCAGGAACATTAGCAGGGAGCTGGATCAGAAGTGTAGCAACCAGAATTCGAACTGGCACCCATATTGGGTGCTGGTATGGCAGGCAGCAGCTAAACTCACTACACCACAGAGCCAGCTCCAGGCCCTGACTACAGACTTGGCATCACTCATGCTCTATTGTCTGGAAATCTCTGTTTATTTCACAAGTTAAGGAATACCATTGTTGGCACTGTGGCATAACAGGTAAAGCCGCCGCTTGCAGTGCCAGCATCCCATATGGGCGCTGGTTCAAGTCCTGGCTGCTCTACTTCTGATCCAGCTCTCTGCTGTGGCCTGGGAAAGCAGTGGAAAATGGCCCAAGGTCTTGGAACCCTGCACCCACATGGAAGACCCAGAAGAAGCTCCTGGCTCCTAGCTTCATATCAGCGCAGCTCCGTTGTGGCCATTTGGGGAGTGAACCAGTGGATAGAAGTCCTCTCTGTCTCTCTCTCTGTGTCTCTATCTCTCTCTCTGCCTCTGCCTCTCTGTAACTCTGCCTTTCAAATAAATAAATAAATCTTTTTAAAAAGAAATCTTCTGAAATTAAGTGACTTCTTGTGCTCTGTAAGGTCTAATCCTTGATAACTTTGTGTGTTAGTTATAGTTTGGCTGCACATGAAAGTGGGCTAAAGATGGTCTATATTAAAGTGTCAGATGTGGTTTCTGTGCCACAGCTGACCTCATAGCTCAATAGGGCTGCTTATGCTGAAGCCATCACAGTTTAATCTCAGACAGTAAGAAGGGGGAAAAATCATTCCCTGTTAAAAAAAAAAAAAAAAAAAAAAAAAAAAACTGTACTAAAAATTTACCTATTCTGCTTACACCTCATTGACAAAGACTCAAGCACATGCCGCATCTAGCTATGAGAGAGGCTGGGAAACTCAGTCTTCATTACAGCTGGACAAAAGCCAGCTACGAATATGAAATATGAAATTAGAATATAAAATATGAAGGCCGGCGCCGCGGCTCACTA